TGCAGGTGGGAGGAGGGGAGGGGAGGTGCAGAGTGCGGGGGTGAGGTCCTGCTAGCAGGTGCAGTCACGGGGTGTGGGCGAAGCTAAAGGGACACACAGCAGCGGGGGATGCCATCTGATGGAGGGGCCTGTCTGGTGGGGGGAGGGCTGGGGGAATGGTAGGTGCAGAACCACATGGGTGCTTGGTAGGGCTGTGGGGGGCGGGCAGGCAAGGCAGGGAGCGCCCTTACAGGGTGAATTTACTCCCCTTCCTCCCTTGGTTAAGGTCCAAATTTCTGTCCCCTGCAGACCCCAGGGATGTCACTGTCTCTCGGCCGGGCCTCCCCCAGCATCTTTGTTATCTCTTCATAGGTACTGGTGGATCAAGCTAAAAGTGTTCCTGTGTACCAGGGGATCGAGCTAAAGCAGTCCTTGTCTTTTGTCCTGCAGCTATTAACTTCTGGCATTTTTGTTGAATTTCACGGGATTGAGATGTTTTTATTTGGTTGCCCTTACTTTCAGGGAGCTCTGGAAGCCCTCTGACCCCTGGAGCTTTGGGCACTGCTCCGATCAATAGTGCATCACCAGCCTGCTTGGCTTCGTGTTGGCCAGCCTCTTCTTGCCAGTCCTGGGCTCCCTAACCAGAAGTTGGCACTTAGTAAGAGCTCAGATGATGCATTAGGTCACCTGAGAGAGAGACACAGAGTGCAGGAAAGACCACATTTTCTGTACATGGGGTACATTCTGTTCGTGGTTTCTTTTGATAAACGCTCCAGACCCCTTTTTCTTCTGGTTTCAGGGTGTCCGGTTTGAGGTGGTTCCTTCCAGGTTTAAAGAGAAGCTCAATAAAGCCTCCTTCTCTGCCCCCTATGCGTATGCCGTCGAGACCGCCAAGCAGAAGGCTCTGGATGTGGCCAGCAGGATGCACCAGGCAAGGGGGCTTACATCCTTCTGCTTCCTTCCAAGTTCTTTCGCCATCAGGGGATTTTCAGGTTTTAAATATATATGTTATAAATAAATGCCATGTACGGTGTGCGATTAATGTAGCTTATTTATTACTGTCTTTATAATGCAATATAGTATTGTAATTAATATCATAGAATGATTTGCAATACAGAATTAATGTAGCTTATTTATTACTGTGTTATAATATAGTTTACTGTTGCAGTTAGTAAACTAGTATCATTTACAGTATAGAATTAATGACTTATTTGTTACTATGGGCTACTGTGTAACATACTGTTAAAGTTAATATGATACTATTGTTTAGGGTAAAGAATTAATGTAGCTTATCTGTTACCATGTGTTATAATGGAATATACTATTGCAATTAGTAGAGCAGCATCATTTTATGATACGGAATTAATGTTCCTTATCTATTACCATGTGTTGTACTATTGTAATTAATATAATAGCATCATTTATGATATAGAATTAATGTGGCTTATCTATGACCATGTGTTACAATGTAGTATACCACTGCCATTAGTATAATAAATACATTTTACTTAATACTGCAGTAAGTATTCTTATGAATCAATGAGTATCAGTTGGTTGGGTTTCCGCAATGGAAAGGTTGGTCATACTACTATTTAGGTGCAAACTAAGGTCACAGTTGTGTACAGATTTCACATGAGCCCCCAGGTGGAAAGCTCAACTTGTATTGGTGTGATCGTCCTAAGTATGTCCTTAAATCACACCAACTGAGCCAAAAACCTTTTGGCCTTAATTCAGGTAGCTCTAGGAGGATTTGGGACCCCAAACCAACCTTAACTGGAACCGTACCCTCCCCCGACCCCCACAAAGGAATGAAAAACCTTGGAACGGATAGGAACGGTTTTCAGCAGTGCCCTGCAGGGTATGTCCACCAACCCACATGTAATCACACAGCCCCTTCAGATCCCAGCCCCAGCCACACTCCTGCCCCTGCAAGGTAGGCTGTCTTGGGCACGTGCTTGTGGTCTTGTTTGGGGTACTGAGGGCATCCAGATTTTGCTTTCTGAAGTCAAACTGGCTTCGTCCCAGTGAGGCTGTTTCACGCCTGGAGTGACGTGGAATTGTCTGTATAAGACACACAAAAACATCAGTTCTAAATCTGAGTTTGGCTTTCTTGCAGAAAGACCTCCGGGCCCCTGATGTGGTCATCGGAGCGGACACTATCGTGGTGAGTCCCCTTTGGGTTACTTTTCTCTCTTCCAGTTGGGTTTGCTTATTCCCAGTGATTCAGCTTGTTTCAGATCCTACTGAAGGCAGCAGGTTCTGTGGGGCCAGCAGCGCCTGTGGGGCACAGAGTGCCATTTGCCTGTGTGGTTAGAGGAGCACTACTTACCTGAAGCTGCCGTAGCAAAGTACCAGCAATGGAAGGGCTTAACACCACAGAAATGTGTTCTCAGTTCTGAAGACCAGATTTCCAAAATCAGCGTTGGTTCCTTCTAGAGGTTTTGAGAGAGAACCTGTCCCACGTCCCTCTCCAGCTTCTGGGGGTTCCAGGTGTACCTCAGCTTGTAGACACGTCTCCCCAATCTCTGCGTCCATCTTCACGTGGCCGCCGTCTCCGTGCCTGTGTCCAAATTGCTCTCTTTTTATAAGGACACCACTCATAATGGATTTAGGATCCACCTTAGTCCCATCTGACCTCATCTTAACTCAATTACATGTGCAAAGACCCTATTTTCAAATAAGCTTACATTCACAGGTTCCAGGCATTAGGACTAGACATATCTTTTGGGGGACACAGTTCTACCCATGACTAGTTTTTGGACATTGGGAGGTTATTCAGAGGCATCCTCCCTGCATCTCTGCCACACCAGAGACAGCACTGCACCTGAGCCAAGCTGCTGACCTGAGGCTGAGCATACCTGGGCTGTTAGACTCCATTGGCAAGCGTCCCCGATTTGAGCATTTCAAGTAGTCCAGGGTCAGAAAACACCAGATGGGGGGTCCAGGGTCCGCCTTCCTTCATGTAGCAGAGGTCCATGGTGCCTACATGCCTGCAGACAAGAACAAGATGCCATTTCTGCTTAATGGTTAAGGATGTTTCTACGTGAAGTGAAAAACTGCACAGCGCAGGTTAGTCCAAAGGTTTAAGGTAGAATTACCTTCTCACTTAGCAGTTCTGCTGTTATGGGCTGAATTGTTGGAGTCCTAACCCCCAGGACCTCAGAATCTGACTGTATTTGGAGATGAGGTTTTAAATAGGTGATTGAAGTAAAATAAGGTCATTACGGTGGGTCCTGATCCAATAGGACTGGTGTCCTTATAATAAGAAGAGGTTAGGACACAGACACACACAGAGGGATGACCATGTGAGGACACAAGGAGAAGACACTGTCTGCAAGACAAGCAGAGGCCTCAGGAGAATCCAGCACTGCCACGCCTTGTCTCAGACTTCCAGCCTTCAGGACTGGGAGAGATAAATGTCTGTTGTTTAATCGGGGATATTTTCTTATGGTAGCCTTAGCAGACTAATACATCTGCTCTTAGGTATATACCCCCAAAAATCAATAACACAGGTTCACACAAAAATTTGTACACAGTTTTTATTTATAGCAGCACCATTCACAATAGCCAGAGGGTGCAAACACTCAAGTGTCCGTCGATGGTGAATAAACAGAATGTGGTACATGCACGGAGGGAACATAATTATGCCATGCAAAGGAAGGAATTCAGATACCTGCTGCAAAACGTGGATGGACCTCAAAACCTTGACGCTCAGTGGAAGAAGTTAGATGCAAGAGAAGAAATATTGTGCATTTCCATTTGTGTGCATGAAGTGTCCAGAATAGGAAATCCACAGAGACGGGAAGCAGACTAGTCATTATCAGGGGCTGGGGAGGGGGGATAGACTGCTTAACAGGTATGGGGTCTCCTTTTGGGGTGCTGAGAATGTTCTGGAACTAGATACAGGTGGTGGTTGCTCAACCTTGTGAATTGCTAAATGCCCGTGAATTGTTCACTTTAAAATGCTGAATCTTATGTGAATTTCAATAAGAAATGAGTATACAAAAGTGGACAGTGGGATTTTACGGATCTGGCTTAGGGAGTGTAAAATGACCCCCTGTGTGCCCCCCTTTCTCTCGCAGACAGTGGGGGGCCTGATTCTGGAGAAGCCGGTGGACAAGCAGGACGCCTACCGCATGCTTTCCAGGTGGGCGCCCAGTCAGCCAAGCTGTCCTGGCCACAGCATTAGAAATGGCCTTGGGGCTGGAAAGGGGCTCAGGGCCTTGCAGGTCAGGGCCTGGTCTTTCTGGTCGGAGCTACAGCCCCTTCCCCACCCCAGGAAGATGGGGTGGAGCCTGCTGGCTGTGAGCCTGGATCTCTGGCGGGTCCTCATCCTTCCCACACCCGTCTCCTCTATGGTGCCAAGAGCGGCGGCTTCTCAAGTTCTGGGCACAGGACAGCCATCGAATAGGACTGGCTTCCCCAGGAGCATGGTGCATCTGAGCTTGTGCCCATGTGGCAGGAAGGCGGGCAGTGCCCCTCTGCATCTGTCCTTGGCAGGGATTCTTGACCACTAGCCCCAGCATGTCCCAGGCCCGTTACTGACCTTCAGTGTATTGAGATGTCAGCTGTGCCCTGTTCCTTGGCCTAAGCCTAAAGCCTGGCATCTCAGACCCCTAGAAAGGCCAGCTGACAGCTGCCTGGGCCTGGGTCTTCCCGGCACAGCCGCTGCTGTTGGGGGGTGTGGTCCCTCCTGCGCTGCAAGGGATGACCGTCCAGACCTGTGTGGACTGGCCCTGGTCTCTCTATGAAGGTTTCCTGGGAGACCCTGTGGCTGATGACGGGGAGCAGAGGCCAGGGTGGGACAGGGAGGGAGGGCAGGCTGTGTCCCATTGGTTGCAGGAACTCGCTTAGTGCATGGCTCCCGCGTGCGACGGCGGTGTGACAGCCTCCTGTGTCTTGCAGCTTGAGTGGGAAAGAGCACAGCGTGTTCACGGGCGTGGCCATCGTCCACTGCTACAGCAGAGGTAAGCAGCCCAGCTCCAGATGCTCCCCTGGGGGACTGTGGGAAGAGCCCTGGCATTCTTGGTGTCCTGAGCTCGAGTGGAGAGTACATTGCCTGTCCCCAGCCAGGTCCTTCTCTCACATCCTTCGGCAGAGAGTCAATGTCCTGTCTGCGGGTGTTGGGGGCGGGGAAGGTGCTGTATGTAAAATTTCCTCCAACGTGACCCTTCCAAATACTGTCTTTGGGATCTTTTGGTCTGGAGTTGGAGGAGGTCACAAGTGTTTAAAATAAAGTACAAAAACCATGGAGAACAATTTTAAAAGCTGCTTTAAAACAATTTTAAGTCATGGGAAGGACCCTGGGACAGAGTCTGACCACCTGACCCTTCTTGACGTATTGACGGGCATCCAGGTGTCTGCTTCTCAGCAACTGAACCTTCACCCTCTCGGTCGTCTTGGGCTTCACCCCGGGGCCCTCTGGGGGAGGAAGGATTTGCTGGGCACTCAGAGTCCACAGACCCTTTACCTCTGCTTTTAAAGTCTCACCCCTTTGGCTCAGACCTTTCTAACGCTTAGCTAGTGAGTTAGTGTCTTGTGGCTGCTGCAACAAAAGACCACAAATGGGGGTCTTAAACATCAGGAATTGATCTCCCAGTTCTGGAGGCAGGAGTCTGAGATCCAGGTGTGGCAGGGCCGTGCTCCCTTCGGAAGCTCCAGGAGAGGGTCCTTCCTGCCTCTTCCAGCTCCTGGTGGCTCTGGGTGTCCCTGGGCTTGTGGCCGCATCACTCCAGTCTCTGCCTCTGTTTTCACGTGGCTTCTCCTCTCTGTCTGTGTCTCCTTTTCTGACTCTTATATGGACATTTCTCATTGGATTTAGGGCCACCCCACTCCAGGATAATCTCAAGATCCTTCACTTAATTACATCTGCAGAAACCCTATTTCCAAATAAGGTTCTATTTACAGATCCTAGATGGACGTGGATTCTGGGGGAGACACTTCAACCCCGGACAGCTGGTGTGGGGGACTTTTCCAACACACCCCTTTGAGCAGTAGTTGTGCTATGCCTGGCGCTTTTCCACCCACAGACAAAGGCCTTGTGTTGACCCCAAAAGTCCCGCTCCCAGAATTTTCACAGAAAACCTCTGGATCTCATTCTCTGGCTTTTTCTCCTCGTGCTGATTTTGTTTGCTTGTTTTTGTTCTTTCGTGTGTCTCCTTGTCCTTTGTCTAAGAGAAACCTCTTCGTCCCCGTGAACAATCCGTGTCTGAGCTGTACGCTAAGCCGGGTGCGTCCTCTCACGTGCAGCGGTGCAGACGACGGGCAGCGGTCAGCCGTTCATCCTCATCTCGGGGGTTTTGTCCTTTCAGACGGTCAGCTGGACACCGACATCTCGGAATTCTACGAGGAAACGAAGGTGAAGTTTTCGGAGCTGTCGGAGGAGCTCCTGTGGGAATACATACACAGCGGGGAGCCCATGTGAGTGTCCGAAGCCTGCGGGTGCGCCCTGGGCGTGCGCGCCCTGCGGAACACCTGCAGCCGTAAGAGGGGGAAATCCTGCCATGTGGGACAACATGGGTGGACCTGCAGGACATGATATTAAGCGAAGTAAGCCAGGCACAGAGACAGAAAGACCGCATGACCCACTCATATGTAGAACGTAACGCAGTTAACCTCACAGGAGCAGAGAGGCGGAGGTGGGGACCTGGGCCGGGGCTGGCAGATGTTGGTCAGAGGACACAAAGTGTCAGGTGAACAGGAGGAATATGTTTTTCAGATATCACACAGCACGGTGACTATAGTAAATATTATTGTACAGTAATGTAATAATGTAGTTAGTAATGCACTGCACGTTTTGAAATTGGTAGGAGTCCATTTTAGTTCTTTTTTTTTTTTTTCTTTTGCATCTGGCCAATATGGGGATCCGAACCCGTGTCCTTGGTGTTATAAGGCTGTGCTCTAACCAGCTGAGCTAACTGGCCAGCCCTAGGAGTCCATTCTGAATGGTCTCACTAGCAAAATATGTTAACTAAGTGGGATGCGGTTATGTTCGATTGATTTAATCATTCTGTGTGTGTGTGTGCGCGTGTGTGTATGAACCTGGAGGACGTGGTGTTAAGTGAAATAATCGAGGCGCAGAAAGAGAAATACCCCATGATCTCACTCATCTGTGGAATCTGAAAACATCAGACTCATAGAAACAGAGTAGAATGGTGGGTACCAGGGGCTGGGGACGGGGGATGGGGAGATGTTGGTCAGAGGATACAAAGTGGCGACTACAGTTAATAATACTGCGCTGTGTGCTTGAAATTTGATCAGAGACCAGATATTAACTGTTGTCACCACACACACACACACACACACACACACACACACACACACACAAAACGAGTATGTGAGGTGATGCATAGGTTAATTGGCTTGACTGAATTATTTTGCGATGGATATATAAACCAAAACATCATGTCGTGCACCTTCAATGTATATATTAAGAAAAAAGAACTTTCACCAGGAGCTGAACTCCCCATTATGAAGGCCCCTGGGGTGGGTAAGGCCAGATTCCCCTGATCGTGCCATCAGATTGGCCTGAAACGAGACCCTAGCACTGGCCGTAGGTGTTCGATCTGGGCAAGTGTCATTCGTGTTGTGATCTCCTCCCCCAACGGCCCCGTTGTGATCCCCTCAACCCCCGCCAGGGACAAGGCCGGCGGCTACGGCATCCAGGCCCTGGGTGGCATGCTGGTGGAGTACATCCACGGGGACTTCCTGAACGTCGTGGGCTTCCCTCTGAACCACTTCTGCAAGAAGCTGGCCGAGCTGTACTACCCGCCCAAACCTGAGGACGTGCAGCGGGTCAAACACGACTCCATCCCCACCGTTGACACCTTTGAAAACCCCAGCGACGTGGAAGGTGGTGGCTCAGAGCCCGCTCAGAGGAACCCGGGCAGCGGCGAGGGGGAGGGCTGGGGCCCATGTGCTCCAGGAGCCGGCGGCAGCCTGGTGGAGGCAGAAGGGGACCCACGGGCTCGGGGCACAAAGGAGGCAGCGAAGTGTAACAGGACGGCGGAGACCCTGCCCCCATTCCCAGCGGATCTGCTAGAACTGATAGAAGGCTTCAAAGCATCAAAGGTACCTGTGTGAGTCTCCTAGGGCTACAGTCACAAGTGACCACACACGGGGGCGTTTAAAACCACAGGCATTCGTTCTCTCCCAGCTCTGGAGACAGAAGTCTGAGATCCAGGTGTGGCAGGGCTGTGCCCCTCTGGAGACTCCAGGGGAGGATCCTTCCTGCCTCTTCCAGCTCCTGGTGCTCCAGGCATCACCCCAGTCTCTGCCTCTGTCTTCATGTGGCTTCTCCTCTGTGTCTGTGTCTCCTCTTCTGTCTCTTATAAGGACAATACCATTGGAGTTTAGTCTACCCCACTCCAGGATGATCTCATCTCAAGATCCTTCACTTAATTACATTTCCAAATAAGATCCATTCACAGGTTAATCCGCCTAACTGGGGGTTAGAACTTTAACACATTTTGGGGGGCACACATCAGCCCACAACAGCATCCAGGGCTGATTTCCTGTCTTCACTGGGTGGCTTGGCACATGGGTGGTGGTATCTGGTGCAGGCATTTGCCCTGACTGCCTGTTCTGCACACTGCTGGGTGGGCTGTGGAGGCCCTGGCTGGTTACCGGCCAGGAAAGGGCTCGCATGCTTGAAGGTGAGCAGGTCTCAGATGACCCCAGCATGGAGAATGTCCTGGGCACTCAGTGTGTCCCCAACAGGCCTTCGCCCAGCTGGGCAGCGAGGCCAGGATGCTGACAGAGATGCAACATCAGGGTGTCCTGAAGCCACCCTGTCTGGCAGCAGGTGCACCTGGGCCCCTGCCACCAGCTGCCCGGAGGGAGGCCAGGTCATGGTTTGTGTCCTCATCCCCACGTGACCATGTGACCCCAGGGCAGCTGTCCTTGCCATAGGGTAAACTGGGCAGACTTGGCACTCCTTAGAATTAGCAGGTTTCTGTTTGATATTCATCGATCTGCAAGCCTTGTCCCAGCTGCTTACTAAATCCACTATTGCGGATAGAAGAAACTGTAGACAATTTTGACTTCCCTCTTTTGGGTCTGTGGGAGTGAAACTTACCTGCTAAGTCCCCTCATGAGTCCCATTGCTTATGTTAATTCACAGGCCCTGTTCACCGCGTGCAAGCTGAAGGTGTTTGATTTACTGAGAGATGTAGCACCCCAGAAGGCCGTGGATATTGCCGGCAACGTGGATGCCTCCTTGTATAAAACTGAACGGTTGCTGGACTTTTGCACGGCCGTGGGGATACTGGAGAAGACAGAGCAAGGTGACGGAGCTTTCGAGGTTTTCTGCCCAGAATCTTTGCAGGCAGAAGAAAATCACTGCAGGAAGGAGGCCTCTGAGCTGAGAAAGGGCCAGGCAGGGAGGGCCAGGCCGTCTGTCCCACTACCCTTGGGGATGTTGCTTTTCCTGAAAGGGTGAGAAGCACAGGATGGATAGAGGAAGGGAACCAGGTGTCTGTGAGCAAGCGGTAGGAGACTTTATGGGTCTCAAAGGAGCTGTCAGTGAGCATTCCCCAGAGAATCAGAACCAGCATGAACACAGCCATTCATGTACTTACTTATCGACTTAGATGAGGTGGGTGTGTGGCTGGATGGACAGGTACATAGATAGATGGTAAATGCATAGACACGTGGGTATAGATTGATGATAAAGACGATAGATAAGATATTGACAGATGATTGATAGATTGATAGATAGTAGACAGTCTGTTCTGCTAAGACAGGATCTCTCCACCTCAGCTCTCTGGACATTTGCGGCTGGATGACTCTGTGGTGGGATGTCTTGTGCACCGAAGGGTGTTGAGCAGTGTCCCTGGGCTCCACCCACCAGATGGCAGCAACACAAACAAAAATGTCCCCAGACATTGCCAAGTGTCCCCTAGGGGCAAAATCACCTGGTTGAGAACCACTTCCATAGAGATGATAGATAGATATTGATAGATGATGAGTAGATGGATGTATAGGTAACTGACAGAAGAGATGGTGGATGGATGGGTGGATGGATGACTGGGTGGATGGTGGCTGAGCAGATGGAAAGATGGACGGGTGGGTGGATGGATGGGTGGGTGGGTGGGTGGGTGGATGGGTGGATGGGTAGGTGGGTGGGTGGGTGGATGGATGGATGGGTGGATGGGTGGATGGATGGATGGATGG